GGGGGTAGGTTAGCCCGGTGATGGGTATTAAGGAGGGCACGTACTGCATGGAGTACTGGGTGTTATATGAAAACAATGGATCGTGGATCACCACATCAAAAACTAATGATGTATTTTATGGTGACTAACATAACATAATAAAATTTTTTAAAAAAAGAAAAAAGAGTAAAATAAACATACTGATTGATCTTTTTCATTTTTGGAAGTTATCATTGCTAATTGCTGCAACACAGGTAGGCCATTAGCTAACTCAAACCTAGACCCCAGGAACAGAGCAATCTGACTAGACCAGAGAGAGGAAAGTCGAGCTGCCACCCAATGCCCTTGAAATACTAGAGGTTCAAGTCCTGTATTGCTGATAAGAAGGGCTGGCAGGTACTCTTCTTTTACAAGATGCCCATGATTATTCCTTCCTTCCTCACCAATATATCTATCTACATGTTTTTAAACCTTCATACACTGATTGTTACAATTCAGTTTTGCCCATCTTACATTGACCCAGCTAACTCACTTCTCATTTACAAAATGTTGTTTTTCACCAACTACCTGATGAATAATGATTTTGGATCTATTATCTGGTAATTTTGCTAATTGCCTGGCAAAATGCATCAGGCCTCCGCCAAAGCAGTGGTGCATAATATTTGAGTGGGTCTGGAAGTAGTACCAGGTCTTTGCTCGGAAGAGAACATCTGTGGCTCTTTCATGCAATGTTTAAAAAGTTTTTTTTAAATTTTTACTGATATTTAATTTACATACAATAATGTTCACCTCTTTAAAGTGTACAGTCTATCAATAGTTTTGATATATCTACAGGGTTTTGCAACCATTACCAGTATCTAATTTTAGAACATTTTTATCAACCCCAAACAGATAGCTTGTACCTATTTCTCCTTATTTCTACCTTCTACTCTAAGTCCTACATAACCACTAATCTACTTTTTTTCTTTATATACTTGTCTATCCTGGACATTCCATATACATGGAGCCATATAATATGTGGTCATTTGTAACTGGCAGTTTTCATCCCTGTTGTAGTATATCAGTACTTAATTTCTTTTTATTGACTAATAATATTCTATTGTCTGGATATAACATACTTTATGCATTAGTTGATGGAGATTTCATTTTTTTGTCTATTATGAATAATGTAGATATGAACATTTGTGTACAGGTTTTTGTGTGGATATATGTTTTAATTTCTCTTGGGTAGCTCCCTAAGAGTGGAATGGATGGGTCTTATGGTAGCTCTTGTGTAATATTTTGAATAACCACCAAATGTTTTTCAAGGTGGCTGCATCATTTTACATTTCCAATTGTATTAGGATTTCCAGTTTCTCTACATCATTATCAACCCTTGCTAATATCTTTTTTTTTTTTCCCCATAGCCATTCTGGTGGGTATGAAGTGGTACCTCACTGGGCTTTTGCTTTGCATTGCATATTTGATTTGTATGACTGATGAAATTTAGCAACTTTTAATTGCATATTGGAGATTTGTATACCTTCCTTGAAGAAAATCTATTCAAATTCTTTGCTTTTTAAAAATTGGGTTGTTTGTCTTTTATTCTTGAGTTGTAATAGTTCTCTATATATTCTGGGTGTAGATCCCTTATTAGACATATGATACGCAAATAGTTGCTTCTAGCCTGTGGGTTTTCCATTTTCTTCATAATATCTCTTAAAGCACAAAAGTTTTAATATCAATGAAGTGCATCAGTCATCCTTGTTTTTAATCAAATCATTGCCAAATCTAAGGTCACAATGCTGATTTTATCTGCTCCCTGTTAAAAAGGGAAAGGGACCCAGTTGTAAAGCCCTGGGAATCTATACCATGACTACACACAAACATCAATCCTTGCATAGCTTTAATAAATGTCCTTAAGCATGTCCTGGCCTAGATTCTCCTCCCACTGACTTGCCACCCAAAAGTCCCCAGGCACAGACAAGCAGGACAAGAGGAGATTAGTTAAAGTAAGCAATTAGAAGAAAAGCCTTACAAAGAGGATGTCCAACAAAGTGATCCAGGGTGAATTTCAGGTGTGCAATGATAGAATGCTGCGATGGCAGGAAAATGATGTCACCTTCCCACATTTATCTTGACAAGAAGATGTAAGAATAAAGGGCTTCTCTGCTTCCTGCAGCTGGGCTTACAGAGAGGAGGACAATGGACTCTAATAAGGTAATATATGTGGGATGACTTTATAGCAGTCACATAATTAATAATTATACAATATAAGCCTCTGGCAAGGAGTCCTAATTTTGAGAAGTAATTTCAACCTTCAGGAAAGCACTGATGACTTCACAGCTGCTCACTGGCCCCAGGACAGATGAATGGAAAGAAAAAGTGAAGGACATTGCAAAAATCCTTATTTGTCAAAGCTGGTGTATGTCACCAGTACCCAATGACTTCTACCTCCCAAATCTCACGTTGATGGCCCTCATCAACAGAACCTGAACTATATCCAGATTCCTTTTAGTAAGAGATTCCGGGAAATTCAGTTGCCAGTCTTCTAGGCCTTGTGATACAGGGTGACAGAAGCAGGGTAGAATGGATAATATTTGCCAAAGATAATATCCAGCATAGAAACGTTGGGAGGAATCATCATTATTGATATCAAATAATGGCATATAAGGAATAAGTTAAAGTAGGTCTCAGAGGCTGTAAAGGAAAAAGAACAAATAGAAACGTATAAAGGACCATATAGTAGATGAGGATGGCAGAGCCTAATGGAAGAGTATATACATATCGGACATTACTGAGGGGTGAGAAACAATATTGAAGAACATAATACATTTCCAATTGCATAATAGAAGCAAATTTTCCTCATTTTCTTCATCTGAGTGTGTAGATTGAAATTCATAAAATAAAAGAAATTCACTGCTAGATGAGTTCTAGCAAAATAGGATAATTTCAAGGATTATTTAAAAAAACAGCAATAAACATGCTCAAGCAGAATTTTAAAATATAGATTACTAAAGGCAAGAAATTTACACACTACAAATGAATGTGTAAATTTACACTCTAAAAATTTCTGTAGTTTTCATTATCTTGATATGAAAACAACTTGGCACATATAGTTAAAAGGTAGAGACTGTTGAAACTAGTTAATTTCAGTTTTGTCTGATGTACGTAGTTCCTTTAGGTTAAAGAGAAAAGCATTTCTCTTTCAGGTACTATTTCTCCCTTTTCAAGGATTCTTTTTTTCCTCCTTTTCCCTCCAATGGTATGTAGGCCCAGGAAAAAGCATCCATGTCCTCATGACCGGACAGGTCAGAGAGTAGCTTCTGATCTGCATCGACTCTCACTTGCTCCACTGGAAAGTAAGGTCTTCATTCCGTTGTTTTGTTTTTTAACTGATTGTTTGGTATATTGCATTGGCTTTGCAGAGTAGCTGCTGTTTTCAACTGCTTTTTTTTTTTTAATTTAAATTCAATTAGCCAACATATAGTACATCATTAGTTTCAGATTAGGGTATTGTGCAGACACCTGGAGCGGAAGTCTCTGACCCTGGTTTAGCCTCAGTTCAAGAGATCCCTGCATTATGCAACCTCCTGATCTAGAACTCAATCCTTTTCTGGTCAGTTTTCTTAGCCATGCTGTTTCTCCCTCCAGTCAAGGGTTCCCTAAATGCCAAACAAAGGCAATGGAAATCTGGATCTAGCTCAAAGATATCTGTCTAGATACTTCCCTCAGGTATCTTTACTATACCATTTGATTGACACCACTCTTCTTTTAGGAAATGCTGATTTTTCTTTTAGGAAATACTCAGAATTTTTCTGTTTTTCAGCTTTTTGGTCTATTCCTTCAAAAGGGAGACACTTAAACTTTTTGCTGAGGAATTCCTTTTAAAACCTTCCACCTATTTCTACTGTGCCACATTCCAGGATTTGGTGAGACCTGACCCTAAAGCAGGGGTAAGGAATGCAAAAGAAAAGAACAAATAGAAAAGTCTAATAATTCCTTGCTTCTTATCAAAGCTTCTTCTTTTCTATTTGGTGGAACTTACTTTATGTCAAATCATGTTCCTTGCTCTATTCTGGTTTATAGTAAAACACAGCGACCAGGCTTCAAGGTTCACTCTGAAAGCTACAGGGAAAATTTTGGAATTTATTGAAAGTCAACAAAGCCTTCATTTGAACACTGGTGTCTCACTATAGACTCCGGTTTTAATTTGCAATTGCATAATAGAAGCAAATTTTAATTTGCAATTGCATAATAGAAGCAAATTCTCCTCATTTTCTTCATCTGAGTGTGTAGATTGAAATTCATAAAATAAAAGAAATTCACTGCTAGATGAGTTCTAGCAAAATAGGATAATTTCACGGAGAATACTCAAAGCTGAATAATCACACCTTTATTCTAGCCTAGGCCCTCTTCTAGTCATGAATAATGATAATTATTTTTGATTCAGTGGGTGGGAGAAGCTGTGGGAAATCTAGGAAAAAATATACTTCTTAAATATGTCAAAAATTATTCCAGTACATGTCCAAAGAAACAGATTTGTCCCTTGCAAAATGGATGGAAATGGAACGGTAAGTAACATTGTGAGAGGAAAACAAATGACTCAAGAATTTCATAAGAAGGCAACAGAAAAATATGATCAATTTCATGAGAGATCAGTAAATATACCATTCATATCATCCTCCTGGAAAAGTTACTCAAAATCTTTCTGTGACTGATTGTTCTTTCTTTTATATTACACTTCTTTTAACAAAATTATGAAGTTAATATATGCATATGCATAATGTTAAAACAGGTTAAAAGAAAGAAATTATGTGGAAAAATAGTCTTACTTCTCCTCCATTTCTGACAACTTTTAATAACTACTGGCAGTTCCTTCTTGCCTTTCTTTATTTTCTTATCATTTTACTTTTTAATTTTATAAGAAGAGAAAATATAGGTTTATTTTTTGGTAATTAAAACAAAGTTAAAAACAATCAGAATTAAATTTGAATGAACAACTAGAATTAAAAATCAATATTCATGAACTTTTAAATGTAGTGAACTTTCAAATACATGGGAAAAACTAGAAGAACAAATAAAACATAGCTCATGTAGCAAAAGGGAAAAATAAATGTTAAAGCATGAAAAATAATGACAGAGAGAAAGGCCAAATATCACCTGTGACTCTCAAAATGAACCAGTTAAATCCTCATGTTTAAAGCTTTTGAGATCAGGGTAGAAAAACCCAACTCTTTGCTGTTTACAATAGCTGCAATAACATAGAATAAAAATAAAAATACAAAAATGATCAAAGACTTATTTGACAGAAATAAAATAATGGAAAGCAGCCCTGGAGGAATCGAAGGCAAAAGCCTACATTCAGGGGACATTTCCCAACTTTAAACATACACATTATTAAACAAGAATTAACAAAACAATGAAGTAAAATAAATAAGAATAAAAGAAAAAAGAAAATAATATTTTAAAAGCAAATTTTAATGGATTAAAATTAGGAAAAAATAAATTTAATGAGCCCATGAATTATTGGCAATAAAATTAGAGTAGATAGGTTTCCAGAAAATCTGATTAAGAAAAAGAAGAAAACAAATAGAATTAGAAAGAGAAAGGGTACAAAAGTCAAACAGAATACAATGTATGAGATTACAATATAAGACCCTATGTATGCAGTAAATATGTAAAATTGGGTGAAATGGATGATTTTCATGAAAGATATAAACTGACAATAAAGATTTATAAAAATTAGAAAAATCTGAATTGAATAATAACCATAGGTATAATGAAAAACATTTCAAAAATTGCTCTAAATTCTCTAGGGATTGTTTTACTAGTGAATTACTTGAAACTTTAAAAGAACTAGTAAACTCAATTCTATATAATTTGTTCCAGAACACAGGAAAAAAATATGGAAAGCAATCAAATCTATTTTATGGATATGGGATTATTCTGACATCAAAATCTGACAAACATTACACACAAAAAAATAAAACTAAAGACAGATCTCTCTTATGAATAGAGAGTCACCATGAATCGATATTAGGAAATATATGTGCCTGGCATTTATTAGATATCCAATAAATTCATTCTACATCACTAAGGAGAGCAAGGCTATCCAGAATGAATTTCTTTGGCTTCCCAGCCCCACGTCTATACTTTTAATTTACATAGGAACCCATCCTCATCTCACTTCCCTCTAGTTCAGAAGAAGGGGAAAAGATCTTTTGTTAAAAAATGAAGTTTCCAGTTGTGTTCTGGATCCTGGTCTAGAAGCAAACCGTCATCCTTGATTTGTCAATTACTTCTTTTGTCAGTTATATGTTGCCTCTTTCTATTAACTATTTCCTTTCAGCTCTTACAGAATGCTTCCTCAGTTCTGCATCCAAACACCCTAGAAAGTGATGACCAGATTCCACGCAGTCCTTGCTTTCAAAGAGCTTTCAATATGCAGGAGTGGGCTAAATCAGCAATTGAAGGGCAAAATGCTAAAATGTGGCCATGCACAGGTACTACTGAAAGCCTTCTGGAAATGTTCCTCCAGTCAGTGCCATGCCTTTTTTTTTTATTTCTTTCACTGACTATCTTCTTAAAAAGAGTAGCTTCCGCTCACCATACCAATTTTTCATTTCCCATTGATCCCTCCACAGATCACTCCCTCACTGAAACCCCATGACTATATGTTCTTCTGCTTTTACTTCTTCTTTGGCCTTTCCTACCTATTCTCTTTTGCAGACTCCTTCCACCCAATTCTTTATTATGAACCACGTTTTAGAGGAACAATGGCTGCTTTTATCTCCTCAATTTGCACACACTCTCTCAATGTACACTCTCTCTCATCTAGTTCCATGGTTTCAACTACTACCTAAATGTTGGGTCTTGATGTCTACCCACAACAAGGATCTCTCTTCTGAGGTCCAGGTTCAAACACCAGCTCTCTACTACATCTCTTCACATGAATGTCTAGCCGGTATGTCAAGTACATGTCTCAAACGAATTAGTATCTTTTCAAATCCTGCTGCTTTACTATACGCATTGTACAATGATGTGAGCCCGGACAGCTCTAATACAGAGACAAATTCATCACGTTATCAAAATGTAAGGCTCACATGCATTCTGATTTCTTTGTTCTGATCCAAATCTCTCTAAGCAACTTTTGGTAATTCTAGTGTTCTATATGGGTAGAAACTTCTCTGTCCCGGATGGCACAAAGGCCTTTTCTAATTGAATTATATGTATCATAGTGAGTGAACAAACTGGCATTTCAGTCTTTTACATTGTGTTTTGTAAGGTTTGCTGGTTTGAGTGTGCATCTTCCGTTCCTCCAAGACTGGAATACTAAACAGACTGAATTATTAAGTGTGCAGGGCTGAGTCTAGACTCTGAAATGTGATGAATTCACCAGTATAAAGATGATAAAACATGATGAGGGATTGGGATAGCCTTTCCAGGTGCCATTCTTTTGTCCCCCTCTGAGCCTGTTCACACGTTGCCCTCTGTCAGCAGAAATGTCATCCTCTCAGTGAAGTGTCCCGCAGTGCTCTATGCAGAGTTAGTCCCTCTCTGGTGTTCTCCCACAGCACTTTGTTCCTGGACCCTTCTCACTTTTTCTTGCAGCTTACTTGTCTCTGTGTCTGCAAACTCCTGGTACATAATACATGCTCACAAGGGTTCATTTAATCAACTAATTCAGATCCTAGGATTGGTATTTTGTCCAGTTCTTTTCCCTTATTTCTCCTGAATTATTAGACTGCACACAAAATATGATACCTTTGCAGGAACGAAGGCCGATCTTGTTATCAAATAAGACTTTTACAATATGGTCAGGAGACTATTCTAATTCCATCCAGAGCTAAGTGTTTTAGAAAATTTTTACTGCCTCCATTCATTTATCTTTCAATTATTTTTAGCTTCAGTTAAATGTATCAGCTCCATAGCATATTTCACAAGCTCTTTTTGCCACAGGACCTAGATGTGATTATTATTGTTTTGTTTTGTTCTGTTTGGGTTTGGCTTGTTGCCATTAATGCCACCAGGCTGAACCCATGTACCATTTTGTCTCTCAGCAAAGTAGCCATTTAACAAATAATAGAGGAAGCCTTTGAGTTCTAAAAATTCTTGACTGTGTAAAATACGCTTGTAACCTGCAGCTTATAGAATCAATGCATATCCTAATGGTTGTTCAGTAGTTTAAGAGGTGTTTGAATTATTAGGTGAGGGAAGTCACTGTAACAGTTAAGCAAAATAACTAAATACATCTGAAGCCATATAAATTTAATGTTTTAGGAGCAGATCTTTTGAAAATTTCCAGAAAGTTATCCAATATCCTATTGACCAGCATTTTAAGACACATTTTATAGCTCAAACCCTTAACTTAAGTGCCTACGTCGTTCACTAAGGGAGAAAGAAATGGCATAATGGCAACCCTAGCCATGGAAAATATGCTGTTTCTTTAGTACACCATTATTTCCTAGTAAGTATTGTAATTGAGAAGAAACTTCCTTTAAATGTGCTAAATCAATTAATTACCCACACACACTTGCTTTAACATCCTGCACTATTGAAACAACTTCCAGATGTTACATTTGCTAATAATTCTTTGGTCATCATGTTTCAGTGGGTTGGCTGTATCACTCCAGATACAAACTCAGAGAGGCAGAATCGCGACTATCCCACATGACCATCACTGGTGGTGAGATGAATCTTGGCATAGCCACACACTCCTTTTTTATCTTGGTAATTAATTTAATCACTTTATGTCTTGACGTCCTCATAGGTAAAGATGGGAGTAGTGATGCTGAGAAAACATTAAGAACAAAAATGAATATAAACAATTCTGTGCTTTGCAAAATATATACGTGTGCTTACTAGTAATCACACTTTGATGTTCACAACGTTTTTGCATAAGAATGATCTCATTAACTTATTTTCCCATTGAGAAAGTGTGTATGGCAACATTACCCTCTGTTTGCTATTAAATGCAATCTTTTTTCATTTAAGGTCTAATGCTTATTTTATTTTAGCACATTTTTTAAAAATGTTATTTTAACATACCCAATGAATTATACTTCTGAAGTCCACTGTTGTGGAGAATCTGAATAGCATCATGTTTACCCTAGTAGGTTTATTCATTAAATGTCATTTACAAGATGGAGAGATACATTTGGAATCGCTTTGCAGCCTTTAGATTTTCTAGAACTTTTAAAACCACATTAGCATTAGTTGAACTTCTCAAGTTTGTCAGTTCTACTAACAAAACCATGCAGCTAATTGCTTTTAATATTTTTCTTCTAGCTTTGTGCTTTATTAGAAATAACTCATTTACAGAAAACCTTTTATTTGAGTTGGTGGTGAGAATAAACACATAGTTCTCAGTGACTTTTATTATTTATTATAAAGTAATTTGGCATGGTGTTGTGGAAGCAACTAAACAAAATAAAAGATTAATCAGAACTACCAATCTTTTTCTGATTTGCAGAGTAACAAAAACCAGCAGCCCAGCCCTGTTTTACTCCCCGAAGGTTTAGTTCAGTATGTGCCAGTGATGGAAAACACCATCCGCCTATAAAGCAACAATTAGGGCTGGTTTCTATTGACTCAATCAGTCAAATGTAGAAATACAAAAGACCAATATAAAATAAGCCCTCTTCTGTGGGCCTTCACATGCCAGAAACGTGAACACCCTTGGATATGGGCTGCTCCTGCTATTTACCAATGCTCCACTGGAATTTTTAGGTTTAAAAGTTCATATTTTATTTGCAGAATTGAATACAGAAGGATAAAAATCAGCAGTTGTTCCCCAGGTTATAGCAGAGTTTGGAGGAAAAAAAGACATAGCTGGAAGAAAAGAGGCCTAAGTTCACTTTTTGGAGAAGGCTGTTGTCAGTGAGACTAACTGATAAATTACTTAGTCTCTTGGTATAGTCATTTTTAATATATATTATGTATCAATTGATATAAAATATTGGAAAAACGGCAGACTACTTAAAGCTGGTGGCTTTCCTGGAAGTAAGCACATTTGCCCACAATTATGTCTTAAAAAGGCCTGTTAACATGTACATTGTCCTCCATATATTTTGAGGGTAGAGAGTCACAGAAAGCAATTTGTATTAATACCAATCCATCCAAAAAGGAACTCCTAAAATCACCTATAAAGAAATGTTAGAGAAGGTTAGAGGAAAGATATGAAATTCAGGTATTTTCTGAAAAACAAAACAAAACAAAACAACTAAGGTGATTAATACCTGCTAGCTTTTGAAATGCTATTATACATTCACTGATAATCAAGTACTTATTATGACAAAAAAACACAAAATGTGTTTGAGTTATATGGAACAAATTTAAGGTAGAGATAGGGAAGATCTGCCTGGCATTGAGGATGGGGAAGTGAGGGTTACTTTTGATATTCTTTTCTCCAGTTAGAGCTAATTCAGTACTGCTTGAGAGGAAAGAAGGTAGGTAGATGATATTTAAAGGACTTCTCTAGCTTATTGTTGAAAAGTGCACTTTGAAGCTGTTACGGGAATAAGATCTTTTGAGTGTCTATGTATGGTGACCTTGTGAATAACCTTTTATTCAATTGAAATGTTGCAAAAAAATCAAACATTTCTATTACTACCTTAAAGGATGTGAAAAGCATTCCATCCCTATATCCTTCTTCTCCCTAACATTATGCAAAGGTAGTATATTATTTGTGTTCATAAATTTTTTAAGATGTTATTTATTTGAGAGACAGAGCACGAGCAGAAGAAGGGGGAAGGGCAGGGGGAGGGGGCGGGGCAGAGGGACAAGCAGATCCCCCCTCTCCCACCCCCGCCACCCCGAGCTGGAAGTCCAATGAGGAGCTCAATCCCAGGACCCTGAGATCGTGATCTGAGCCAAGTCATGCTTAACTGACTGAGCCCTCCAGGCACCCCTGTGTTCATAAACTCGTAAAGGAGTATTAATTCAGAATCAGTTGCTGACTGATGACATAGGATCTTTGCTTCTGTTTGGTAGGAATATGTAAGGTTTTTGCATTTTTCTTGGTGGCTTGGAGGGAAGAACAGTGTGGTATTCCTGGGTCCTCTGCCACTAGGCCTGGTGTCACAAGCATCTGTCCAAATGTATTCCCAAACAAGAAATTAAAAGTGAAAGAAAGGAAATTCCTATTCTGGTTAAAATGAAAAGGGGATTAACTGCGAACTACCAGGTTTTGTGGTGAATCTCCATAACTTACAGAATAAGAGTTAACACTTGTTAATGAGCTGATGATTACCAGGCCTTTAGCCATCTGGCTTCTGCTTATCTCTCTCCCCCCATCTCTAGTCCCTGTCCTGGTTGTCCTACTCTCTCAGCATATCAGACTACTTTATGTCTCTAGAATGTAACATCCTCTTTCACTTCTGAGTCATTTAAGTATGGATTCTCCTGCCTGGACTACGATTTCCCCTAGTCTTTCCAAAGGCTGGATTAATCTAACCTTAACATCATTTTCTTCTATGAATCCTTCTAAAATCCGAAGTTTTTCATTATTTCCAGTAGTTTCTATCAACCATGCTTACCGTTATTATAGCAATCCTTTAAACCAAACTCTGTCAGACTTTGTCATGTTACAAAATCAAGGACAATATATAGGAAGTACATAGATGAAGTATGAATTACTCCAAGATTAAAGTGTTACCCAGGGATCATCTTTGTCACTTGCATCTCTGGGCAAGCCTCAATAACAAGGTATCTATGACACTTCTTTACAAGTAGTATTTTGACATTTGAATAAAGAACTCTATAATTCTATCCCATATGACATTACTCAGATTTTTAACCATGTGAGGAGAAATAGCAGTTTATATTGTTTTATATTAATGTCTGTAGGAAAAAAGAATGAAAATTATTTATATCACCCAAACAATTTCATAATAACTCCCAATCACCTTGAATACTAGACAGGGTGATAAGGGTCTTAACTTTCCCATTCTTCTGAGACTGAGGTCTATGAAAAACTTAACAAAGAGCAATTATTTAGCGTTGACTAAAACAAATTAATAGAAGGTGCCCAGGAAATGACAGGAAGTAATAGAAATGTATCACCATAAAAAGTAGACACAAAACAAAAGGAAGATCTACTAACTAAGGGGATGAAAAGCAGTAGCAGCATAAACTATTGGACAGCCAATAGGGTGATTTTTGGCCATATGATGGTGGGAGCAAACAGATAGTCTAACACTTATAGTCATAAATTACCAACTTCAAAAGGCCTACTTGAAAGGATTGTTGAGAGTATATATTTTAAAATAGCCACCTGATTCGTCCAGTTAAACATTAAGATTTATCACTCTCTTGTGACTTTAAATTTCTCTAACCATTGTCATGTGTGCTCTTATTTTGAAGGGCCAATTTCTTCATGATTATTATGTTCCAATTACGGTTCTACTCCTGCACAACATCTCCTAACTCTTTCTCGGTAAAACTATCCTATCGCTTCTCTCCTTTAATGTGTTGTAACACTTACTTTGATGGTGTCAACATCAGTAACATGCTGCCTTCACTTTGTCACTTAACTATCATATCTGAAGAGCAGGATTACTCATAATTTGTCTGTAGCCACCCGCCCTTGTGCTGATGATAACATTACACATTTGGAATAGTCCTGGCAAACTTTATTGAATGAATAAATGCCTGGTACAGTTTGCCGGACAGAGGTAGTGGGGCATAGACTAGAAAACAAAACCTTATATTAGGAGTGAGAGGAATGCATCTCATCTCTGCCAGTACCTTTAGGCCTCTGGGGCCTTATTTCCTCATTTATGAAGGGATCTCTAAAGCCTCTTCTAACTCAAGTCCTCTTGGAACATATGGATGTTATCCATATATTAGAATAATACCTACAAAAAAGTATGGGAAATGAGTAAGAATATGGCAGCTAAAGGAAACCATACAATTAGAGATTTATCTCCTTAGTTTGTACTTAAGATTTATGCCATGAGATATTTCACATAAATCTGAAAACAATTCATCATTAAATATGTTACTTAAGCTGTAAAACTCCTCTAGCTAAAAATGTCCCAAGTACCCTAAAAGGCCATGGAAACCAAAAGGAAAGTCCAGTTTAAAGGTGTGGAAACTGATGTTAGGAAAAAGTTAATGATACACAAGTTTCTTTAGTGAATATGTTGTGTCATATCATAAGGTGTCACTTCACCAAAATAAAAAAGAGGTTGCAATCCACTTCTGTTATCGTAGCTAGTTATGATTTTCACATAAAAATTATTTATGTCCAGGAACACCTCATTATTTTAGTAGTATGCAAAGCCTGATGTGGAAAGTATTAATATCTTTATAACCCCTACATAAAACTGGACTTGAATTTTATATATATAAACATTGTATATATAAACATATATAACACACACATATAGTATCTTTCTTACTTTGCAATGATAAGGCAAAGTAAAATGGCATAATATAATTACAAGTTGTATAGAGGTTTTTTTAAAACCTATCTGATTATCAAAATATAGAAACAATATTTTCTGAGCCCTCACTTCCCCCTCCTGCACAAATCATCTATCTGTAGGATCTTGTATTTACTGAAATATCAGAATGATGCCCCCATCTTCCTATATCTGGAAGATATAATCTTAATATGACTTCTACTACCATAATCAGGGCAACTATACTCTTTATGGAACCTTTTAGTTAAATTTGATGCTGTTTTTTAGGGCTGTCGGCCTTATCAATTCCAGAGAGTATAGTTTTGACCAGATGCTGGAATTTGTATCTAGTATACATAGCGTAAAGGCTGAATGTTCTCCGAAG